CCAGGGTTTGCTGCCCTAAAACACTCTGTTCAGGCCACCTTGAAAATGAAGGTCTGCGAAGCGAGAGCAAAGGAGTTTCCACCTCCTCGCTTGCCAGTCTTCCCAGGGTTCATATAGGGAGCCAGGCCATTTTCAGAATCTTCTCAATTTGAGCTGTTCGAGTTCCTATTGAAGGGTATATGTCACATTCAAGCAGCAGAAGGACAACATGCATCCTCTGCTCTCGCTTCGCAGACCGTCCTTTTGAAGGTGGCCTGAACAGAGTGTTTTAGGGCAGCAAACCCTGGTCTCAGGCCACCTTGAATTTAGCTTGAAAAAGTGTTTGTTTGAACAAAAGGGTGCATTGTTTTTGTTTTGACATGGTTACCTATGTGTGGGCAGAACAAGACATGAAGCAGATTTGACACGCGGCCGCAAGCGGCTGCGCGAGCTCATTTGATTGCTTCGACGCGCAGTTGTCGAGAAAGGGAAGCGCTGGCTTTCGTTTTGCAGCTTCTCAGGTGTGTCCTTTTTTTTGGGTGTTTGCTTTTCAGATGCTGGATGGGTAAATTTTGTGAATCCTTGGCCTAGCAAGATGTGGGCCAGGAAAGCCAGAGAATCATGAGTGTTGGGTTTCTGACCTGGAATTCTACCAGACCGCGATGCAGCCAACCCCAGCTTCCAAAACCGCCACCCCCTGAGTTTCCGAAACTGAGTGGGGCATACCACATCATGTGAGGACCCCTAAAGTGAACCCGCCTCCTGGGACACCTCCGGCCGGTTTTGAAGGTCCAGATCGGTCCACATGATCTTACCACGTGTGTGGCGAGCCGGACGGTCCACATGGAAGTGGAAGATGGCCCAGTGGGAAAAAGAGCATGTGGCCTGTTGCAACAGAACAAACCAGGGGGTGACGTCCACTTCTCATGTTCTCAGGTGGTTGTCCAGCTGTTTTGAAAGTGGAACATGGTCTTCCCATTCTACTTCAGAACCTCAGTCCTTCAGGTTCTTCCGTGGTCTTGAGAGGCCCGAAACTTCAGTTTCCCCTCGCGGCCCGCGGCCTGAGGCCTCTCCATCTTCTCAGACAAGCAGCAGCTGGACACCCCAGTGGTGGTTGGATACGCGAGTTTCGGTGCAAGGGGTGTTTGGAAAACAGGGCCGTGAAGCAATGTCGACTGCTTATGAAATTACAACCATCCTGGAGCTGATAGGATATGAACATGATATGAACCAATCCCAGAACATGCGCACTTTCCGGTTTTGGTGACTTCCCCATATTCTATCTACTCCAGGATGACAATCACCTAGATGGTCCCACACCTCCAGCATCTCCAGGCGTTATTGAAGGGGGAACAGAAAAGACGACTTCTCTTGGACTAAGGGCCTTCTACTCCTGCGTCGAAGGAGTCTTCCCATTCATTGGGGAGTTTCGACCATGACTGTGTGCTCTCCATCATAAACGAAGCCGTCCCGCCCCCTGTATGCTGAAATCCATGTCTCCTTCTTGCGCACCCGCGTCAAATAGAATTGCTCAGCAAGAAGGTGGCTTCTCAGCAAGAGAGGCACCATGGCATTGCTGAACAACAGATCCGAAAGAGATCGTTTCAGAGCAAACCCGACCGGGACCGTGGACCTATCTCAAGCGGGTCGGACCAAAGGACCTGGAACGGGTGGGCGGTGGGATCGATCGGTGAGGGCTGGGTTCGCCTCCCTAAGCCATGGGAGCCATGCACTGCTTGCCCTAATCCTTTTGGGACGATTCGGGGCATTTGGTGGTTTTAGAGACGCACCCATCTTATACCTGCTCATTGAGGGGGGGGCGCACCTCTCCAAAAACACGTTTTGATGGCTGTTCTTCACCCTCAGCACGAATCCCATGCCCAGGTCTCTCGGACCCGCTCTCGGACCACGTGGGTGGGAACATGAGTGTCTTTCTGCCGAGCCGGGCCTCTCAACGATCGATGCGCCGACGGCTCCGAGGCGTTACCTCAATTCCACCGAGAGCCCCGTGCCGGTCGGGGCCCTGAACAACCTGCGCGGAAAACGCTCGGCCGGTCGTGTGGGTCCCGTTACGATGCTTTTCTGTTTGATCGATGCAAAGCCTTTTGTTTCATCGACACATCATGAAAACCAGCAAGAACTCCTGGAGACGTTCTTTTTAAACATTCCTTCAGTCCAAGTTGCTGGCACCTCTTCATCCGCACGAAAATCTGATGGCGCCAGATGCACCTCGCCCGAAGTGATGATGAAGAGGAAGAGGAGCGGCCCACTACACGGATCCAGGCAGACGACGGGATGGGGAGTCCGAGATCAGCGCAGCACAGCACTGGGTGGCGACATGTACCCCCGACGTCTGTGGTCCGAAAAGGAGAAGCAGAGGTGCGAAAGCTTCTGACTGGCTGACCTTTTTTTTTGGTTGGTTTTTGCCAAATACAATCACAATACTGAGTAATTACTGTTTATGTGTGGGGTACCAGGGCCATGGGACGAAAAAGAGTGCATCACTTGCTGGCCATGGTGTGCCTTTCCCTAGCGCTCGCTGGCCCTTGACACCCTTTTCCGCTTGTTTCACACAGTGCTGCATTGGCGGCATCGGACCACCAGCAGGGCTGCAGAGTTGAAGTGCTGTGATTTGGCACTGTCTATAACATCTAAAACTAGCATCAGTAGCATGTGGTCTATAACAGTAGCCATGCGGTAAATCAGTGACCGCCAGGGCTGTGCCCGGTCTGTGCTTCTGCGACGGAGTGGTCGTTCGCCCACCAAACCCGGTCCCAGCGAAGTGAGCGAAGTCGTCGAAGTCGTGGACGGCGCGTTCTGCGCGGAGCGGATTGAGGGCGAGTCGGGCGCAGAGGGTGTTTGGTATTTCGGTCAGGGCTAGGCTCCTTCAGAACTATGATGTACAAGAAAACGCGTCCAGTTTGATCAACTCCAAAGTGTGAACAAATCCATGTTGGATCTCATCCGTGATGATTAGCACTGCAACCATTTGCAACCAATCAAACTTACTTGGGGTTCCACGTGTTCATTGCCTGAAAGTCCCGTTTGAGAACCAGCAAATAACACATGAAGTGCTTGGAGGATGCCATCCAGACGGCAGATGAACGTGGAGCCTGTCGGACATCCAATTGTTGGGAGTGCTCTAGACACTTGCACACACCAAAGTCAGCATTGTCCTGTTCAATCAGAACCACCAGAACGAATTCCGATGCCCAAAAAGATTATAGTTCCACAACATGTGACAAACATGCAAAAAAGTATCCCGGCCTAGAAAAGCAAGCCAAATTGTCCAAACATGTTACTGTTCCAACAAAAAATAACCATAGCCACCCCAGAAAAAGTTCCAAAAAGAAACTGAACCTCCGCAAAAAGTTATCATCTAAGAATCCAGCTTTTGTCATCGATTTTTAACTTCCAAATCTGTCTCGTCGGGAAACGTTCGTTCCATAAATCACATGCGACACTTATGACATGTCATTTTTCTGGGTTTAAATGTCATGTAAATGTGCGATCTGCGTGACGCAAACTCATCAAAGAGAAAAAACATTGCAGATTCTTTACTGTCATGTCGACAGTTTTCCGCACAAAGGATGTTAAACCATGTTTAGACATCTACAAGTAACTAACTTCTTTTTGAGATCATGACTTTAGGGTGGGTTGAAGTTATTTTGGGAGCCATTCTTGGGGTGATCCTAATCCGTTAGGATTGGGCGTTCCTTTTCAAGCTATTATTGAACATGTTGGATTGCTTTCTGAATCTGGTTTGCTTTGAAGCTACAGTTAAGTTTCTCACTTATCACATACACCTTTTGTGGACCCAGGATTTCTTCCTGTTGGTTATAGTCTATAGTTATGTTGTTTGATTTGGAACTGATTCAATGTGTTGGATTCGGAATGTCTTCTTGGTAGTCACCTGTGAATGGAACTATGATATGACATTTGTTGTGTGCTTTCTGGTGGTTATGCGCTTTTTGAACTATAGATTTTTGGACTCCGAAGTTATTGTTGGTGGCTCCGTTTGACTGAGATTGTCAAGCTGTCACTATGCTGGGTCTTTTGCAGCACACATGTAGACTGCGCTGCAAACCTAATTACAGTACGTGTTTTCTGAATCTGCCCAAACTTCATTTGCGTGGAATCATAGTGAGTGCTATTTTGATATTCTTCGAGATTGTTTGTCTATCTAGTTTCAACAAATAAATAGTAACATAACAAAATACCTGCACCATCCTGGCTGGGTGTCCGTATTGGAGATTTTGGGTCGTGTAGGCTAGTCCGGCCAGGACACTGGATGGTCCTGGTATATCTGGTATGTGTTTTTCATACATCTCACCGTTTGCACGGAATTCCCGGACCAAACCGTCCAGGTCGCCAGACCCGAGGACCCGGCGCCACCCACGGTGTGGACCTGACGGGCTGGGCTGGGGAAGGACTCTCCGGTGAAAAGACGTAAAAGAAAAAAGCATCGGTTGGCCTGGCAGGCTTCTAAAGCAGGAGTTCTGTGGGCTTGGAATGTTCTGTGACGCTGTGACGCTGGCTGATGGGAGAGTTTCTGGAAGAAGGACTGGGTGGTTTGGTCAATGAACGGATTTTCCAGGTCAAGTGGCTGGGGCGATGTGAGCTGCGCAGAACCTCAACAGACGTTGATTGTTTGCAGGGGAACCTATACACTACCCCAGAAGAAGGTTGGGGTGGCAAAACATATGCACACCAAGAACTCTTTTAGCGACATAGCACCCTGGGCACATGTATGCTGCAGAGTGCGCATGGTGCACAATCACTTCCAGTCTTGGCGTATGCTGGATCTTATAAGTAAATGCCTTGGTTAGTTACTTGACCATTGCCCAGTTCAACTTCAAAGTTCTACGTGGAACCCTCCAACCACATGGTTTGAGTGTTTCTTTTTCCCACTTGCAGGGTGGGTGGGTCTTCCTAATGCACACTCATGCCTTGCTGTTGATCGGCAAGCACCCGGCATGCGCCTCCCACTGAGGCCACCCTTCCTCGGATCACCTTGGAAGACAGCGACAAGGCCGCGGGCTTTGGTTGAAAGATCTTGAACACTGGAAACGCCTTCCCGCTTTTCTTTGTGCTTGGTATCATTTTGCAGAAGCACTCTCAAAATGTCCTCAAACATGAGGGTGTGTACTGGTGGCGTTTTTGCAATCGCCACGTGTCTTGTTGTGCGCAGGCGGCCAAAAAGGAGAAGAGCAAGCAAGCAGCTTAGGGCGACCCTTTGGGCGGAGCGCAGAGGTTTGGAATCAAGCGACAGTGAGGGGTTAGTGGGGAGTGTATTAAAATAGGGAGACCTCCCAAAGAACCGCTGGAAGAAGGAACATCGGAAGACAGCCAGATGTCTTGACTTGGGCCCAGGAATTACCGGCGTCCCTGTCGGTGGGACGCATGGCTGTGCATTATTTTTTTCAGGGCTACCAACACGAATTGTGAATTACATTGAATTGCTTCTTTTTTTTGTGTACTTGTTCTACAACTGAGGCCGCCGAAGGTGCCCAAGGAAGAGCCCAAGGCGCTGGCCCTGGGAGGTAGACAAGTGGTCAAAAAAGGATATGTCAGGAGCAGAAGAGGTTTAAGTAAAGGTGGATGAAGAAATGTGTGTGTCACCCCCTGTTCCTAAGGGTTCCGCTTTTCGTTTCCACCACAATTGCAGGGGGCCAGCGGCCGACAAGCAAACGCTGGCTAACAAAGCTATGCTTGTCGGTGGATGCACAGTCTGATCAACTGTGTGTACCTGCGACCAACTTTTGCACAAGCTGTCCAATTTGACCGGTTTGCTTTCATGGTCCTTCATGCTGCCACCCCCAAACAGGTTTCCCTCCGCTTTGCAGCCGCTTCCACTTGCACTTGTTGTAACACTTTTGTTAAACAATACTTTTCTGCGGACTCATGCGCCTTTCCGTTCCTTCACCGTCCTTCTCGACGTGGGAATTGAACTAACTGAAAACCAATGTCAGAGTGTGTGGTAAGGGTCATTGTTTGGCTGCCTATGCTTTTTCTGCACACCCCGAAGAGAACAGTAAAGGGATGTAAAGGGTTTTTAATGTGATTGACTGATATGGTGATGGGCTTGACCTTGTGTGGTGAGTTGTGCAAGTTGTGTGTTCTCTTCACATTGCCATTTCTAGGTTGCCTTCGATCCCTTCTTTTGGCTTTCAGTCTCCGTATCTGAACACCCCAGATCAACTGAGCACCCGGTCCACCCTTTTTGCGTATGTTTTTGGCCCTCCTGGTCCCGCAGCGGGAAGCTCCCAGGTGGATCATGAAGCGGAGGCACAGCGGCGAAAGCTGGAAGAGGAGGCGGCGGATCTAGCGGTGTCACGACAAGAGCGGAACCAGGACTCAGAGTGCTGCAGGATTCGAGTGTCCTGCAACAAAAAGACCACGAGTCCTTTCCGGTGGAGACGGGTAGGACCTCTTCATCTGGGGTGATGATTGATCAAGAGTCTACATTATTTGAGGTGAAAACACACCTTCGTCACCACGCAACCCTTCCTGGCCAGGCTGATAACATCCTGGGCGCGTTGGTGCGGACCCCCTGATCCTCCGGTCCGATCGGTGAGGAGGAGGGGAAAGGGCATCGGGCAAAGCAGGGCGAAGCGAGTGAGTGCCAAATCGATCGAGACGTGTTAATGGTCTTGAACACCGTCCAGCACCACCCAGTCCGGGAGGTGTATAGACCCTGACCATCCCAAAAACCAATCCGATCTGGTGGGTGCTGAGGACATGATTTGCTGGCAGACCAGCGCAATGGACATCAAGTGAAACTTTGAATCCTGAAGGTCTTGAAGGCACCCTGGGCAGTTCTTCCTCTACTTATTGCGATCACCGTGGACCCGGTGACTTTAGAGCCACGAGGTTCATGTCACACTCCATATCTGTGTGTTTTTTTTACCGTATGAACTCTTGTCCCCCCATGCCTATAGTGTAGTCATCTGTGCTCCGATCTTCGCCCCGGTGTTTTCCTCGCGACCACGGCCCCCTTTCGCCGGGACGAAGGCCGTCGGTTCCGAGGTGCCGGGCCTGGGCGACAGCGCTGCACCGCCCATCTTCTCCAAAGCCGCCCAGCAGCAGAAGAGGAGCGATGACAGCAGGTGGAGCTGCTGGTAGCGTTGGGGTGGCGGTGGTAGCAGATGTTCAGCAGGTGGCAGGTGGCAGGTGGAGCTGCAGGTGATGGTGGTCTTTAGATGTCTTTAGATGTCTTTGGTGTGTGTTCTATGCCGGGAGTTTGGCTGGTGTGAGGTGCTTGGGGGTAAAAGAAAAGGGTGGGGACTTGCGGTATTTTTCAGGATTTGGTCGTTGCTTCGGGGGGTTGTTGGTTCAGCGTGGGTCGGTGTGGCTCGGAAGCTGGTTCAGCTCTCGGAGGGCTCGGAAGGTTCGGATCGAGCGGGGCATGGGCTGGGAGTGATGTGGTGAGTCACCAACTCGACCCTTTCCGGAATATTGTTTCTACTAGTGCTTCTATACTTGATGGACTGTGAGCAATCTTTCGGGATGTCATGACAAATGGCCTCAGATAGTTCACTCATTTTCACAACTATACCGAAACGAACGCATGGCATGACCGTCCTCGTTCCATGGTTCCATCCATCCCAACTGGTCGGTCTCCCGGTGCGACACCGCGGTGCGTGTGTCGCGAATAAGGCCGATGCCAACAAGGGCCGTTCGGCCAGGAGCTGAGAGTTGGGAGCAGAAAAACAGGGGAGGAGCTTGTGGACGTTGTGGACGGGACAAGGGAACCGGTGCATGAAGGGCGGCCCGAGGTGGTGGATTGAAAGGTTGGTCGCCGCATGTCGCCGCATGTCGTGCGCGACAGTCGTTGCATAAGTTTTATTTTATAGTGTGTTCGCGATGGATGTGGATGTGCTTTCAAACTTGAACATGTATGGATAGACCACTATGAGGCATGAAGCTGCACCTAGATTATATGGATTCCAAGAAAGCATCCCCATTGTTGAGCCTGGTCACCAGTTCGAACTCATCGTCTCAACCCTTCCCAATCAGGCAAAGATACCCTTAAATCACAAATCCAGATCACCCTTTCAGAGAGGTCAGCATACCAACCCTAAACCCTAAACCCTTTTCGGCATGTCAGCCGGATCCGACCCCGAAACGTCCAGGACGGGAGGAGAACTCCCGTCGCTCGTTTTCTCCACCGTCTCCCGGCTTCAGGTCTCCCGTTCGCGCTCCATCTCTTCAAGGACGGCTCGAAGGCAGGATCCAATCCAAGACAGGTTAAGTGACCTTATAGGACCCGTAACCTGGGGTACCTATGGGATAGTCTATAGGGTCCTTCAACCTCTGTTGGATAGCCAGAAGGGATAATGTGGAGAGACATGGATGTTGCAGTGTGGTTTTGGCACATTCGATCGGGGAGAAGAGTTCCCGACAGACGACCATAGAAGTCAGAGCCCGCTGGCAAGTCTTCTGCAGCCGAGTATGTGTTGTTTGCCTCCGAATGCATCCGAAAGGGAACCCCATGAACCCCGTGATTGCCCAGCCAATAATCGCCCAGTGAGCCTTTGTCCGGCTTTGATCATCCAGGTTGAGGGTTCAATGAACCTGTGCCCCTCCACCACTCCACCGACGATGAGGAAACCGAAAAAAAATCGCCAAAGCTATCCAAAGCTATTAAACTCTTTCAAACAACTTTCGATTTCGGCAAACCCCAAAGCAATTGAGCAGATGGATCTCAGCACTTGAACATGGATGCCAGCAGCAATATCATCTTCCCGGCATTCAGGCTGGCCAGAGAGAAGAGGCGCTGTCAGACAGTCACGAGTCGGGCTCGTGGAGCATGGGAGGTCGCCCAGATGGGTTTTGTATTTGGGATATTTCTGGACAGCGTTTGAAGTTTGAAGGTGTTGGATCTTAGTCACAGTCGCCATGCTATTGTTGGCACGGTGGGAACTCCCCAAAACAGCAGGGAAACAAGTTCTAGATTCTAAACCAAGTCCATCAGAGGTTTTAATCTTGAGTGTCGAATGGAGGTGGAACCTGGAAATGCGCCAACTCTTCTTGTCGATGATCATGGAGGAATGATTTCTCACCACACAGGTTCATCTTGCTTACTGATGTAGCTGTTTGCTGCTGTTGTATTTTTTTCAGAGTTGAACGGGAAGGCTCTCAGAATCTGTACTGTATAGATATATAATCCCCTTGCCAGTATCCTCTATTAAATGGGGAGGGTCCACCCTCCATATTTTGAAATATGACCCCTACCCCTTGAGGGGGTCAGGTCCTCATTTTTTAGAGGAAACTGTTTGTGCATGATGTCGCCGCTGCTTTCCATTACTTTCCTTGCAAGACGGTAATATCTGCTCATGAACAAAAAAAGATGAACATGATATTAGGTTCCCCTAGGAGGTTGGCTCCAGCGTTTTATGTCTATAAAATGGGCGTTTGGACCCCCCACTCATATTGGAATGGTGATGATATATACACTATGATACACTCACGACACGGCACCCACGGCCAACCACTTGAAAACCACACCCCCACCCACCCGGGGCGCTTCGGGCCGTTCGGTGTCGAGGTCGTCAAACGCACCGACGGACCGACGCTCGCGCCGTGCGACGCGCTCCAGGAAGGGCCGGGATCGCGACGGCTCCTGGCGGTCCGGCGGCTCGGTGGGGACGCCCCAGTTCGGCCGGACGAAGCGAAAACGCCCGCCGCACCGGTGCCCCGCAGTGCGACCCGGGGTGGAGGCCAGGGCCGATGCTATATACTGCTGGGGTCAGAAGCCTGAGGGAGGAACGAACCCATGTTCACGTCTTCGACTATAGCGAGTGACTGGATGGTTTCGTTGGACCAGGACCAAGCATACCGCGTGGACCCGAGATACCATATCTTATGGGTCTTGTTTGCAGACGTTTAGTAGTAGATGAAATCAAGCGCAGCGCTTTATTGTTCGTACCAATGGGTTTGCTCACTTATCGTTCAACATTCCAGAATTCCAGGATTCCAGATATGACGTGCCCAAGTCCAAACGGTTAAGGTGGAGGCCTTGGTAAATGGTTATTTGATGTTATTGGTTTGAGCAAAACTAGGGTGTTTTAGATGCACCTTTTCATTGCAAACACCGTAGGAATGCAGCATGCAACATGAAAAGTGGGTTTGTTGTAGGCCTGACTAGAACACCCAAGCCGAAGCCCCCTTAGGTTATTATCTACTCTAATTCTGAAATTACTTCATCGGTGCCTCCATTTGGGCATCTCTCATTTTGACCGTCGCAGCAATTTAGGAAAACGATCGAATACGAGTTGAGCCTTTTGTGGTGTGTGTATGAAGCTGCACCAACATGTTTTGGTCATATTACTAAACTCACTCGGGGCGGTTTTGGCCTTGAGGTCCGTTCTGGTGTCTATCATGGTTTCCTTCGTGTTTCTTGAAGCAACACCTCGACCATTTCGGAGACTGCATGTGATTCTTCTCTGTACCCAAACGTAGACGATCAATAGAAGATGTCCAGCATGTTCGATGCACGATTGATAGAACCGAGTGCCTGGTCTTCGGCTTCGGTTCGCGCGACGGAAAAAAAAGGCGGGCGACTTTTCTTGGGTTTCACGACAGATCTCAGCAACACGATGGCTTTCATGCGAGACGTCTGAAGCGAAGAGTGGACACCTCCAGCGTTCTTCGACCGATCCACAGGGGCTCTCGGGCTCTCGTGCCCTGCTGCTGAACCGGAATTATACCGAGGCGTGGGGTGGGATGTGCTGGGTGTGGACTCCAAAGGATCCAAAGCTCTTTGAGCCTCGATTCAGTGAGAGAAGGGATTTTGTCCACCTGATGAACGCCCGAAACCGTTTGCTAGCATACATGGGAAATATATATATATATGTATATAGCATCAATATATATTAATGTACAGATTAGATTAAACTAGGCTCCTTTTGATAGACGAGGCTCCTCCACATTTTTGTGCGTTCTGCGGCGCTTCCTGTTTGTTTCCTTCAGTGCGCTTACGTAAAGTCTTATTACAGTTGATCAACAGTATGTCCTCTGGGCGCAAGGGTTTGGGCCCTTTTCTATAGGTGATGAACAGGGTCGCCCACACAAACCGGTCGCATGTCAAGTCGAATCAACCCCGGTCCGGGTTCCTTCCTTGCGCCCGACGCGTTGGGAAAACGATCCACGCAACGTTGTCGACTCGTCCCATCCCGACTCGCAGCAGGACTTGCCCCACATGCCGCGCAACGCGGCGACGGCGGCGAATAGCTCTTATGCGTCGCTGGGGCAGGAAAGGCCAAGCAGGAGGCCGAAGCAGAGAGGATGTTCGAGCATACGTGATTAGTTTCGAGGTGATTTCGTTCGCATTAGAACATTCCTAGGAGGTTTGTGGAATGACTGTACACTGTAAACCCAAACAGCACCGTATGAGCATGCCAGCCAAGCTGAAAAGGGTGGTGGTGTTCTAGGCAGGCAATTAGAGTTTCCAAACAGGACGATTTCAATGTAGAGGGTATGCCCGTAGGCCCGTAGGCGGTAAACAGACAAGAGTCCCAAAGCTGCAGTTTTTTTCTATCCTTTCTTTGAGCCGTATTCACTGGTATTCACAGGTTTAGCAGGAATGCTTTTCTTCTGAAGTCTACTGAACCAGTTTGGTGTTCGTCGGTTTTTGGTAAACACTGGCCTGTGGAATGTGGAAGCACTTCGACTAAGCAGCGATGATGCGGCTTGGCATGGGTCAGGTTTGCGAACGGTACATGCAGAAAAGAAACTGAGCCAAATCATGCCTTTCATCACTTTGGTAAAGAAACCTCCTTTGAGGGGTGAGAGTATCTATGAATTTCATGTATGTTCTAGGTCTAGATAATTGTTTCAGCAAGACATATCGCAGCCAAGAAGTCCTTTTCGCCATCTAAGCCATTTGTCTACTTACCATGCTGAGCAAGCGCTACGCCTTATCTGTGTAGTTCTGTTAAGTTCCGGAGTATCCGAAAGTGGTTTCCATGCCTTGAGAAAGATCCGAGTTGTGGTTCAGCGTAAGAGGAGGATGGGGTAACGAGTCACACCGGCGAACGTCACCGTCGACCATCGCATTTGTCACTTGTGGATTTCTAGTCTCGGGCACGCCACCATGGCCCTTACCTTTAGAAGAAGATATCCGTCAAGAAAACATCAAACAAACCATCTGAGAGCACCCTGAGCCCACCATAGAAAGACACACAATGTTAAACACACATGTTTTGCATTTAATATATACTCAAAGGTCCACTGCTCAACATGAGCTGTGGCTTGGACAGATTCGCAAGTCGCGCCTATATTGATTTTGCAAAGCAATCACATGTTTTGCACTATCCGAAGACGATCTGACCGGGATCTTCTTGTTACTCACTTCACCCCAACGCAACGGCCGAGGCCCGAAACCAGCCGCCGCACCAGCCGGTCCCGTTCCCGGCGGCGCCGGCGCTGACGGCGTGCGCAGCTGAGGGGGCGGGTGGCGAGTGGCGCTCTGCGCGCGCCGCTGGTGGACACACATGGCCAGGCAAAATAGAAAGGAGTCCAAGCAAGCGAAAAACAGCAAGTACGCAGTTTGGAACATGGTGGAATAGACTTGCAGAGATGTCGCCAGCGAGTGAACAAGTGCTACACTCTTTGGAGTGGGATTCGGCGCGTTCGTCAGCTCTCACGCGCTGGAACACGGTAGAGACGCGGTGGAAAGTGGAAAAAGGGTGCACCCACGGTGCCTGGCCTTGCTTCTCCGTGGACACTCCTGAGTCCGTCATTGCTTCTCCTCAAAAGGAGCGTTTGTGTCCGAAGGCTTCGGAGCTCAACAAAGAACATCAACGAACCTAAACGTATACGCCCAGCATCATCATATATGAGTGAAGTACTAAGCCTGAAGGATCTGTCGATGGCACAGGGTCGAAGGGACCATCACAACAGCCATGAAAGGAGGACCACTGTGCGGTGTGTTTTGTTCTGTCATTCTTGTTAGCAGTGGAAACCCATGTTTGTGATGCAAGGAGAAGTCAACAGCTCAGAGTACCCCAGACTACCCACCCCTAGGTGCATCAAAAAATATTCGGGTCTTGAGATCTCCGCCTCGGTCCGGGGATGGGTTTTTATCCTTGGTTAGTTTTGCCAAACAAGCCAAACAAGCGTCGCAATTCCAACGCCACCCTGCTCATATTGAGGAAAAGTGTTCACCCCCTCACGTAAGGTCATGTTCAAGGAGGTGTCACAACCATCATCAGTCAGGAGTTCCTATGCTGATGACAGACCAAACCTATGCTGATGCAAAAACAGTAAGCTCCTTTCCCAGTGATGCAATTCTCATTGCTCCTTTGTTGATTTATACTTATACTTCCCATGATTTTGCTGCACTGGTCAAAGAGGTAGGAGGTAGTTATGCGTGGTACCTCCTCATTTGCCTGGACTCCAATCCACCCAGATGCATACCTTGAATTGAAGAGAATCTGAGCGGGTGAATCTGAGCATTGTAAGCTCCTGCAGGCTCGACGATCAGGACTCACCTTTGTTAGTTGAACCAATCAAGACTGGGAGAACACAGACAGATACAAAAATAACTACCAAAATAGCATGAACTACGAAGTACATTGAACCTTGGACAACAATACCAAGTTGATTCACTTCCATTGGAGATTGCCAAACCTTTATATACATTGACCTTAGTTGCCAGCTGCCACCGTGACCTTCACCATGTTCCTTCCACTTTCATGGCCGCGACGTCGGGGCCATCCTTGCCAGACCGCGTGGCCCGGGCGGTGATCGACCGGTACGACCAGCTGCCCGGGCGCGGCAAACCGCAGGGCCGCGCATGGACGGTGCTGGCGGGCATTGTGGCAGAGAGAGGACGAAGCCTGAAGGCTGCAGCTGGGGCGGGGAGTGGGTCTCCCCTCCGCCCGGTGTGACTCAAATCCCTCACACGGTGTTGCCCCCAAGTGGTGTGTCTTAGAGGCCTGTGGAAGGGTTCGCCTCCATGTCTCAGTGTTGGAAGTGGTTTGGAGGGGCTTGACCCTTGCTGGGACGTATTCTATGCCAAATCTTCCAGACCTGGCACTTCATCCCCTACCAAGCTGCCCAAGTGCTCCCCCACATCTTTACATCTCTTTACTTCCCATCACCTCCCCAAACCCAAGCTGCCCGCGTTTTCATCCCCCCACGTCTCTTGTGCCTCCCCTTGTCGCCTCCAAGTCGTTGACGGACACACCGACACCGACGTCGCATAGGTCTTGGCCTTGGCCACCGGCACCCGCTGCATCGGAGTGGCCTCCATGGTCGCACGGCCGCTGGGCCACGTGCTGCACGACGCCCACGCGGAGGTGCTGTGCCGCCGGGCCTTTCAGCGCTGGCTGGTCTCCGCTGCTCGGGAGAAGGGCGGGGCGCAGGGATGGGAGGTCTTGGAAAGGCGGTGGAGGAAGGTGGAGGTAGGTGGAGGCTGGAGGAAAATCTGGGAAATGTTTTGAGCATCAACGGGAGGCAAGTAAAAGGGAGACCAATTGGACATGGATGCAACTTTCAACATTCACACAAACTGCGACGGTTTTACGGAAGGGGCGCTGTACCTGGATCTAGATGGTTTGCGCGAGGCTTAGGGCTACCACCGTCTTTCTTCACCAATCCCTTTGACCCTACAAAGGCGTCTTTAAGGCACTAGTGTGACAGTGTGTACACAGCCGAAGGCAGCCATTGGTAAATGAACGTTTTCTGATCTAATTGTAGATCCATCTTCAGGGACAGTACTGAAGGCTCGAGGATCATTTGAGATCTTTGGTGCCACACTGGACAAAAAGGGTAACAGATAGAAAGAGGCAGAGAGACGGAGGGGGAGATGATTTGGGGTTAGGGATCCCCCTTAGAATATCCACTACAAAATGGATGGCCATGTCGCCAGTATAAATCTGAATTCTAGTTCATTTTGAGGGTACCTGGGAGGGGGTGGGGCCTTGCAATTTGTAGAAGTGTGATGTTTCATTCCCGGGAATGAAACATAGAGTCTCGGCCACCTGCACTTTGCATAAGGAAATTTTGTCACATGTTGGAAGCACGCCAGGGGGTAGGCCAGACAGTTTGTAGTGAGGCAAGAGAAGAAAGTAGACAAACAGAGAGAGAGAGAGAGTATTCGAGAGTAGAAAATATATACAAAACATATAAAACACTATACTTATACAGAATGACGGTGCCCGTCCTTTGGTTGTCAATTTTGGCAGTCACCAATGAGTGCACTACAGTTGCAAAACCAGGGTTTATAGTTTACTCATTTTGGAAAGCTTGAGGTTGGACCCTCCATTTTGTAGTGCACTTTGTCCTTTCTCTTTCGAGGACAATTTTTGTTTCAGTCCTTGCATTCTATAATGAATGTCCTCGAGCTCTTGCATGGTATAATGCCAAACTCTGGCCCCCGCAAATCATTGCTACAAAATGCAAATCCATCGTCTCCATGGGTATTTGAAGGGGGATGGTTAAGGACATTAGCAGAGAAGACATGGGTCTGGAGAACGACAGAAGTTAGAAGGTCAAACGTGGTCAAACAGATACATATATATATACAAAAATAGTAATGTTTTCTTGAGCACCCCCGCGAATTCGACGAGAAAGCTACGTACTTCAGAACATACATGACATGGATGTTGCAATCAGTTTCGTGCCCGCAAACAGCACAGGAAATGCTCCACAGCAAAGAGGAGAGAAAGAGAAGCTCCTTTCTGAAATTGGTGGATGAGGCGAGCTGGACGTGTTTGGTGCGTGGGGAAGGTCAACTCCGACCGCAAGTCCAGGTTCGTGCTGGTACCACTTGGTGCCTACCAGTTACCAGTTGTAGTGTAATATATAGAGGAATACCTGTGATGGTCGTCGAAGTTTTGCATTCATTGACCAGAGTATCAGCCTGAGCCGGGTTGCCTCACCCCGGTGGGGAAGGTCACTCCGGTTAAGGAGTGACAAAGGTCCTTTCCGGCGTTGCAAGAGACTAGAGGTAGGTTGGTCCAGATGGGATGCCTCCTGAACATATGGCCATGGATCTTTTCCGGAGACGTGCCTGTTTTCACAGGAGGATCTACAATTCTCTCTTGACGATGATGTCCACTTGCATTTCTACGTGAGCACACTGCCCTGCGGCGAGTGTGCGTTGGTGCCGCTGCAGAGCAAGCTTGGTACGTTGGCCCGAAAGCTGACGGAGACCACCGAATCGGAGACCCTAAAGGACCGAAATAGGACTGGAGCCAAGCCATCTCGAGGGATGCCCAACGATCCACAGGCGGAGGGCTTGGAGTTTCACCAGGAGGGCATTTTGAGGTACAAGAGTGGCCGAAGCGATACCCGACCCGAAAGCCGCAGCGTCTGTTATAGCTGTTCGGATAAGATTTGCCGCTGGAATCATATTGGATGGGAGGGCGCACTCTTGTCACGCCTCCTGAAGCGGCCTTTGAAGACGCCTCGAGAGGAAAAACCACGCACCTTTTCAAATTCTTTTCGGCAGCAAAAGATGAGCATTTGAAGTAGTAAAGTAAGTCTTGAGGTTTTGTAGTACAATCAAAACATGGAACAATTGTAAACCCAAGTTCATACTTTCAATTGCTAAGTTTGCCTCCTTTCCCTCCCTTCGCCACTTTCGAATCACTGAGGATGACGTCCTTGATCATTGGGGGCTCCATCTACGACCAAGCCTTTGTCCACCGCGCCCTCTTTGGCCGCGCGGGCGTGGCTTCAGCGCAGCTGGCCCCGCAGTTTCACCCGACGACGGTGGAGTTCGGCGCGTCTCGCGAGGCCGCCGAGGCCGATGCTTCATCTTCGAAGGTCTCGACCGGCGGCTTGAGCTTAGCATCCTGGATTTGACCCGGCTGCGTTGGCCATGTATGGCCTGTGTGATCATGTTGTGGCTGCTCTTTTCTAGGAAGAACCTCCAACCGGTTTTAAACAATTGTTTTTAGCCGGAGGTCTTTGCGAGGTCTCACTGTTCGTGGAGCCAAATGGGTATAACAGAATTGTTCATCAAGGTGTCCACCTCTTTTTGTGTTTAGTGACAACTAATGAGCTATAGGCTATCTTGATCCATAGGTGTTCACAAAGAACTAGCACTGAGCACTGTCCTCTTCAAGTGACCTTGGGGCACGAGCACACACTATCTGGTCGCACCGCACTGCCATGGCCCTCTCCCGAGGTTTGGACCGAGGAGTTGGAAGACTCCACCTCTCCGAAGTCCGCTCCCGGCGCCACCTACGAGGTGCTCATCGGCCACACCGGGCAGCGCCAAGGCCTGCGCCACGACCGCAAGGCGAGCCGCCGCGCAAGGCCGGCGGAAGCTGCCAAGGCGGCGGGGGACCGCGCCGGCGCGGTGGATAGCTGGGTCTCCGTGCTTTGCAAGAAGCTCAAGGCGCAGGACGGCAGGATGAAAGTCAAAGAAAAGCGGAGAAAGAGGCCAAAGCGAGAGGGTGGTGGTGCAGGATGCGGTTTGACTTGTTCATGAATCAAAGTTCTTGGCCTCCCTTTTTTGTGACCAACTCCGACTCCTCTAGAAATCCACTT